AGGGAATTGAAAGCCAAGCTTTTAGCTAAGATTGCTGAGCTTAAGAAGAAGTTTGCTGAGATTAAGGTTGAGAATGATGAGCTTAAGGATAAGAATACTAAGATTGTTGCTTTTAGTAATAAAATCGCTGAGCTTGAGGCTAAGAAAACTGAACTTAAGAACAGGATTGTCAAGCTTCTAAGACAGGCTGTGAAAGAGAATAAGATGCATGATGCTAAGGTCAAAGAATTAGAGCAAAAAAATTCAGAGCTTGAAACCAGACTTGTGATAGTGGAACAGAGTTTCTTGGTGATGGGTGGACAGCCACAGGACAACAAGGAAATGATTGCAGAGATGCTACCAGAGATAATAGTATCAGATATTGATGTATCCGATTCCATAATAGATCAACTCAAGAAACATACACCTGTTTGTAAAGCAAATGATGTAGTATCAGAGATGTCAATACCAAGTTACTGGAGGAGAGAAAGATAGATAAATTCTTGAATGAGGCATATAAGAAAAGTGTTAGTGATAAAATAAGGCAATGCAATAAGGAGAAGCTTCCACACAATTTGACTGCTCAAGCCCTATTTACTGCCAACGATCAAGATTATGTGATTTCTGAAAATTTGAAAAGTTTTGAGGAAACTATAACAAATTTGTTACAATTAGACTATGTATACACAAATACCTCTGAAGTATTAGAATTGGAGCATGATGACGAAATTGATATAGTCAACACAAAGCAAATTATAGAACAAGGTCTAATTCAAGAATTGATCCAGAATTAATACAAGGTAACTTGCCAAAGTGACTTCATGTTCTCAGATAATAAAACTAATAAATCTTGTATTTAGAATATGGAAAACTTAATTCTAGGCTCCGCAGAAAGTTTATTATATTTGTTTGATAAAGTGATTAAAAAAGACCAAGAAGAAATTTTGTGTTGGTATTGTCATTTCCTTGAATTCGAAACAGAGTCAAAAGTCTTATAGTTGATAGTAATATTAAGGATAAAACAGCATGAACAAAAATATATAAGAAAATAAAACCTTTTCTACCTCACATCGCAGATGCAAATTTATATAAAAAAACACAGAAAGCCTGAATAATTCTTAAATTATTTGGAGAAGAAGAGGTGGGCATTGCTAAGATCAAGCAGATCACATATAGTGCAAGTAGTATTTTGGAACTAATCAATGCTCAAATTCAAAGTATAATAAAACATATGACTTCAAAAACCATGCCAAATTTGTCATGATCAATCTATAGATCTCCAAAAATTAAAGTAAATACTTTGGCCAAATTATTAACTTCTGGCCCAAATATATCAGAGGCACAAGCGAGAAAGCAAAGCTTAGATTTAGCTAAGGTAAATGCATCAGCAAATGTATTATTATCTGCACCATAATATAACTCAACTTATGACCATGTCTATTTTCGCAACAAAATATTGAATCAATATCCTAATTTATATCAAGAAGGTAGTGATAAAAATGATGATTATTATAGAATTAC